AGAAGGGGAAGGCCATACAGAAAATCTATTAGGTCCACAAAGGCAAAATACTTTTTTAAAGGTAATTATAAAAAGTGTTCTGAGGATGGTTTGTTCCATTGGGTGACATTAAAAAAAAAGACAGAAAAATTTTGCTCATTACTCTAAGTCTGTTTAATTTGGATCACTAATTGCATAAAATACTGGATAGCTTTTGTTTAGCTGAGCTAGAGTCAGTAACATTAGGATATTTCTTCCATTGCTATTTGATCAGTAAATGAAATAATAGAACAAATGAAACGTCAAGACTGTCTTCAGCTATAAAAATGATCATATACATTCTTCAATGATTTTTCTTCTTCTAGGCTTTTATTTGACTTTTGATGGGGCTGTATTTAAGGAGGCAACCCACAGACTACACAGAAAAGAATTACGGACTGGAGTCCCAAAGCCTTGGGACTAGACACAGCGATGCCACTAGCACTCTGTGTGAGTAGGGTAAATCACTTGACCCATTTGTGATTTTCTGGTAACTAAAGTAGAGGGTCATCTTCAAAAATTTTTTCAGGTTTAAGCCTGAGCATATGAGACTTTGGCATATTTTAATTTTTATGGGACTGTTGGAGTAATCATGATGTGTTTTTTTTATGTTTTCCTATGTAAAATGTGTCAGGACTTTTCTGATGACCCAATAGTTTCTTATTTTTGAAAAATGTTTACAATAGAAATATCTACCTTCATATTTCATAGAAGGACATTTGATTAATTACACAAGGGTATTTCAAAAAGTTCATGGAAAATGGAATTAAAGAACAAGTTTAGTCTTGTGTAAAATATTAGAAATTCATACATAGCTTTTTTATAATATGCATTTGCTATAAATTCTAAGATTCCCTCATATGATATTTGTGAAAATCTTTGAATTCTTTAGAGATAAAAATAATGGAAGTCATCAAATTTTCTATTATTAATTAAATAACTTAAAACAATAATAATTCTCCAGATATGGAATTATGGATAATACATTGAAATCAAGATCATTTGGCTAAAAGTGAATTGTATTCCATGTAAAATTAAATCTATTGTTTCTTTAAAGAAATGAAATCATCCAAGATGCATTTTTATTTTCTTGAAAGCCTGAGCCTAAATTTGGTAAGTGTAAAAAAATAACCACTGTTTAATAACCATTGTCTTTTGTGTGGGGAGTCAATGTATTGGCTTAACATAAGTTGTATTTAAACTTGGCAATTGTTACATGAAATCTTGTTTTTTTCTTTCATGTCCTTGGCAATAATCTTGCAATCTTTGATGAAAATTAAAGCCAATGTTCTTCGAACCTCTAACCTCAGGGGAGAAAGTTCTTTGCTAACTTTAGAAGAGACAACTGGCTGAGGTCCAATGAAGATTTCATGGTCATTCTCATGGAAAGAGTCTTGGCGCCTTGATTATTTGATCTCCCTATTGACCAATTGGATAAGAAGACTGTCCACCTGCCCTGGAAATTACAGTGAGTGGGTAATTATTTGAGGGGTTATTCTCTCCTGATGGTGATGTGTGTATTGTACTTAACACCTGTTCAAAACCTATGTTTATATTGCAGAGGTTTTTTACCCCCCTCACTCTGGTGCTTAGTTAGGAGAAAGACTGGGTTTAGGGTTTCCATCATAATATGTTCTCCTGGTGCTCCAGCTATGGGAACGATACATCATAGAGCTGGCACACCACTGTTGGGAAGGGTTTGGGGAAGGACATGTTTGTCTCCTCCTAAGGGCAGCTCAGCATTCTGACTCGGATTTGTTCGCAATATGTACTGTGGACTGGACCATGACGGCTGGGAGTCAGGTAGTTAAAAATCTTAGGGAGGACATCCGTGGGAGTGCACAAACCATACACCGGGACATCCTTGTGGCAAACCCAGTTCTCTTCCTTTTCAGCCTACCTAATCTTTTTGGCCTCACAGTGGTTCTTGAAGTTAAACTGGAACCATTCACTGGGCTGGTAAGAAACAAATGAAGTTACAGATATTCCTCCAGTTCCTCAACTCAAGCTGAGTAAAAATGATTATTTAATCCTTTTGATTTATACAAGAATAAAATCAGCTGAAGCAATATGTATTTATTTTTTAAAAATAATTATTTTAACTTTATGTATTTATTTATTTTAATTTGACCAGAGAGAGAGAGAGAGAGACAGAAAGCCACCAGGTCTGGGACTTGAACCGCAGTCAGCCATGTGGGAGTCCAGCACCTTTAATCACTATGTCACCTGCCAGTCCCACAATATGTATTTATTATACACACCAAGATATTGAGATGTCTTGCTACTTATAAGTGTCACAAGTGAAACACCGTCTTTCCTGTCAGCTTTGAACACATACCTTACTTCTCTGAGCCACTGGAATTTTATGCTTTGCTACTCAAAGAGCCTTACCTTACAAAATGGTGATATGACCCAGATCGTAGGTGATATTTGGTGTTTTGTGTAAATCTTTTAATGATTTAGTAATAAATACATTTCTTGAATTTTAACAAACAATAGAATTCTTAATTTTAAAATAACATCTTTTTTAATTCTAAGGCTTCGTTTTTTTTTTTTTTTTAATTGCTGGAGACCACGTCTGCTCTCCTGAGAGAGACAGACAGAGAGAAGGAGAGAAAGGGAGAAAGCATCCCCAATGGGAATGCTGCAATCCCTCTTCTTCCATGTCTCCATCCTACTGGGATTTGGAGCACTTGTTCTCAGCATGTTTTTCAAGCTGTCAAGACTGGGATTCTAACCAGCATGATTGTAACGTGGGATCTGGCTCCCTTAACTACTAGGCTACAGAGCTGGTCTCTTCATTCTTGATGAACAAGGAGTTGAAAAGATGGAAAAAGCAAATATGGTTCTATGCTAATTTTATCTTAAACCACACAGTGCAGTGTTCTGAGGGTAGATATTCATGAGGCCGTTCTTTAACTCTTTAATATTACTTTAGCAAACACATTTGGTTGTCCACCTCTGCGTGCCAGGCACAGAACTCACTGCCAACAAGTACTGTCCGGGGAAAGGGCGTACTTACGTGTTGACCCTAGAGGGGCAGTTGGGTAATCTGATCGAGCAGTGCCGTGCCATAGATCCTAGGACAGAAGTCAGTGTGGAATCCTGAGGGGCCCCAAGGGAGAGAGTGGTGCTTTCTCCCTGGAAAGGAGGGCACTGGTGATCAACCTGGTCCTGAGAAAGAGGACACTCCTGGCTAAGGGACTTCCAAGAGCAAAGCCAAGATGTGCATTGGCCAGGCCTAGTGCTTGGGGGTTAAGATGAGTGGGAAGAGAGGCTGGAGGGTGGGTCCTGGAGGTCTAGCTTGAAGCATTTACTCTGTCAGCCATGGGGTGCCACGAAGAACAGTCAGAAGTACACATTTACGTCTGCCTTTTGGAAAGATCATTCTATAGAAAAACCAGAAAATACATCAAAGTATCAATTTCTTTTTTTTTTTTTTTTTGAGATAAATTTTTGCTATAGGGCGTGTGCACTCTCTGGAGATGCAGAGAGAGACAGAAAGACAGAAAGCAAGGAATCACTACCCCTATCCCAGCTGGGGGAGATGGCCACACCACACTCCCTTCTCCTCCAATCTCCTCTCAGGATTTTGGGCATGCATGCACATGCACCTCATGTGAGTTTTCAGCCACTGGGTCTGGGACTCAACCGCAATCAACTACATGGGAATCCAGCAATGCAACCATTTCCCCATCTGCTGGTCTCCAGAGCATCATTTTTATAACTACACAGCATTATATTATATCAATATATCATAATATAGTCCCCTTTAAGAATGTAGGTTGCTTTTAAATTTTCACTATTATAAATAGCACTGCTCTCAGACTAAAAATGTTTAAATTGTTTCCTTAGGATAAATTCCCAGAAGGGGAATTTCTGGCTCAAATGGAATACATATTTTAAAAGGCCCATGTCTTTGTAGCCATTCTAATGCTAGTCAACACCATGCTTTTCTCATTGCCAACTTATGGATGGGGAGGACTGAATCATTAATATAACTCACACTTCTTTGGCCAAGATTGAATGATACTTCATGAGTTTAAAGGGGTTTGCATTTGCCTGTCGTGAAGTGAATGTTCACGACCTTTGCCCGCTGTAGCTTGGTGCATTTATCTTAATTACATGTGCTAGTGCATCTGTACAATAATCATGCTGTAATAGAGCTATGCACAAAATGTGGCACAGGTTGAGTGTGCTTTATGCAAAATGCTTGGGACCAGAAGTGTTCTCAGGATTCTGGAATATTTGCATGTGGATAACGAAATATCTTGGGGGCCTGCAGGTGGGGTGGTGATTAAGGCACTGGCTTTACACATGGCTGACTGCAGTTTGAATCTCAGACCCAGCAGCTGAAAATCAAGCTGGGCATGTGTGCATGCATGCCTGAAATCCCGGGAGAAGAATGGAGGAGAAGGGATTGTGGCGGGGCCATCCCTCTGGGAGGCCATTTCTTGCATTGCCTCTCTGTCTCTCTCTGGTGAGTGCACGTGCCATAGAGCAACAACCTTAAAAATAAATCATGCCAGGGCGTGTGCACGTGTGCCCAAAATCCTGCGAAGAGAATGGAGGAGAAGGGATTGTGGCATGACCATTTCCCCGAGGGGAGACTTCTCACTTTCCCTCTATCTCTCACTGGCGAGTACACACATCGTACAGCAAAAATAAACAAACATACAAAACCCCCCAAACGGGAATCACTTGGGAATGAGACCCAGGTCGGAGCATGACATTTATTTATAGTTCTTGTATACCTTGTACACATAGCCCGAAGGTAATGTATGTAATAATTTTGTATTGCAGTTTTTGACTATGACTTGTCACATGACATCAGGTGTGACATTTTCTGCTTCTGGTGTCATGTGGGTGCTCACAAAGTTTAATTATTTTGGAGCATTATGGACTGTTGATTTTCAGAGCATGGGTGCTCAACCTGCGGCATCCTTCCATAGACCACCTCTCATTTCTTTCTGCAGCCCTGAAACCACATGAAGCTGTGGGTGGAGATTTATCTGATAGTCCCAGAAAACCCTCTCAGCCCGCGGACCATGAGCAACCAGTCACTGGTAACAGAGTTCATCCTTCAGGGCTTTTCGGAGCACCCAGAATACCGGGTGCTCTTATTCAGCTGTTTCCTCTCCCTCTACTCTGTGGCCCTTACAGGTAATGTCCTCATCATCTTGGCCATCACCTTCAACCCTGGGCTCCACACCCCCATGTACTTTTTCCTGTTTAACTTGGCGACCATGGACGTTATCTGTACGTCTTCCATCATGCCCAAGGCCCTGGCTGGTCTGCTGTCAGGGGAGAGCTCCATCTCTTATGGGGGCTGCATGGCCCAGCTGTATTTCCTCACATGGGCTGCGTCCTCAGAGCTGCTTCTCCTCACGGTCATGGCTTACGACCGGTACGCGGCCATCTGCCACCCCCTGCATTACAGCACCATGATGAGCAAGACGTTCTGCAGCATGCTGGCTGCCGGCGTGTGGGTGCTCTGTGCCTTCAACACGGCCATCCACACGGGGCTGATGCTGCGCCTCCATTTCTGTGGCCCCAATGTCATTACCCACTTCTTCTGTGAGGTGCCTCCTCTACTGCTTCTCTCCTGTAGCTCCACCTACGTGAACAGTGTGATGATTGTGCTGGCCGATGCCTTCTATGGCATCCTCAACTTCCTGATGACCATCGTGTCATACGGCTTCATCATCTCCAGCATCCTGAAGATGCGGACCACCGAGGGGAAGAAGAAGGCCTTCTCCACCTGCTCGTCCCACCTCATCGTGGTGTGCATGTACTACACGGCCGTCTTCTACGCCTACATCAGCCCCGTGTCCAGCTATAGTGCAGAGAAGAGCAAGCTGGCGGGCGTGCTGTACACCATGCTCAGCCCCACGCTCAACCCCCTCATTTATACATTGAGAAACAAAGAGGTCAAAGCAGCCCTCAGGAAGCTGTTCCCTGTCTTCAGAAATTGATTTGTATTTTCTGAAACTTTCCTCCTTGGAAACTGCAGTGTTAGTGGGGACTGGCCTTTCTGTGAGGGGTCTGATGAGTGTCTCTGTACTGGAAGGTGGGTCACACTGTCTCTTCCACCCCAGCAGAGCATTTTCTCAGGATTCTGGTGCTCTGAGACTGGCTGATGAGTGGATTAAGGTTGAGTGTGAGCCCACAAGTGTCCGAGACCTGGGGTCTCACGGTGTGACTCCAAGGTGACTGCAGTGCTGAGTTGACAGGAAAACAAAGCACTCTTGGAGGAGAGAAATGATCTGTGGGTTTTGGACTTACAGCCGTATGAGAATGCTGCCCCTTTTCTTTCTTTTATATGTACGATGTTTGGTATAAATCCTAAAATTTACACCTAGAATTTAGGTGTGTGACCTGAAAAGACAAGCAGGATTCTTAGACTGCCCTTGGATGACTGTCAGGCTGAGCAGTTACTTTAAGATGACCACTGCCTGCAGAGAAAACTTCTACCCCTCCGGAATCATTTGATTTAAAAAATAATTTCTGGTTGTAATTCAAGCTGTTGTTTCTGCGTGTCTCCTTTCTTTTCACTAACACTTCAGGTGAAATGTATTATCAGGGCCACAACTTTGTGCTGAACATAGAAATCCCACCTTTATAACCTAATGTGTGATGTGTGCACCCAGGAGAAGTCTGAGACTCTTCACCTCGCCTTTCTTTTCACGGTGAGCATCTGACCTACCTCATTGGTCTGCAGTGGGCATGACTGCTCTGATTCAGCCCTAATAAGGGACACACTGTAAGAAGAAATGCATCCTTCCATTGTTTCAGAATACAACTGGGCGGACAGGTTCTCTGTGGATCACGAAGACCGATCTTGTGCTTGGAGTCTGTGCTGTTAGGAAACTGTACTGGAAAATCCATCCTATTATTATGATACATTAAAGATGATGGAAGCAAGATAGAAATGTTCAGCTCTCTCTTTGGGATTGTTTTTTTTTTTTTTTTTTTGAGAGGTTTTTTCTGTAGAGCGGATGGGCCCGCCAG